CAGAAGTGGTGCTGTGGCTCAAGTGGTAGAGCGCTAGCCTTGAGCTGAAGAGCTGAGGGACAGCGCCCAGGCCCAGAGTTCAGGCCCCACGACTAGACCCAAAAAAAAAGTGACAAGGGGGGTTCATGACCTAGGTAGGTTGTAAAACTGGGTATCATAGTTTAACAATTTGCTTGGAAAGTGTATTTACTCTTTAACTCCAGATTTTCCCTTATCATGAAACTCTGCATGGCCCTTTGCTGTAAAACTGGGGTCAGGGCTCTGTTCGGTACTTCGGTTTGGGCTTATGCTATTAGTTTTAAGGGGGAAATCAACAGAAGTGGTCCCTGGTGAATAAAAATACCAACAAAGGCAGGGCCAGCCACAGTCAAGGCAAGTTTACACCCTCAACCTACTTTCTTTCTTCCCTTTACTTGGCTTCCTACTGACCACATTAACTCCTCTCCTCAAGCAAAGCAACTCCCTTCCTTTTATCAAAATCAATCTGAAGCCAGGCATTGGTGATTCACACCTGTAATTTTAGCTACTCAAGAGGCCTCGATCTGTTCAAAGCCAGCTTGAGCAGACAAATCTGAGAGACTTATCTCCAAATAACTAGCAAAAAGTCAGAAATGGATCTTTGGCTCAAATAGTAGTACAGTGCTTGGGTCAAGCCAAGGAAGAATTCGAGATTCTGAGTTAAAGCTTCAGCAAACACACACACACACACACACACACACACACACACACACACACACACACAAATTAATCTGGCTCATGTTCCAATGTTCCAGGTCCTAGATCCATTAACTGAATTATCTGTAATATTTTTCTCCAAGATAATGATTGCATTCACCTTTCATGGCTCCTATTCTTTACTTTTATTTAGGCCATTTCTTTCATCTAGATTGTTCTATTTATACCAACTTCCTATGTCAGGGAAAAGAAATCTCCACATTTCTGTTCCCTTTTTACTATAAATACATCTTGCCTGACAATGACAAGTAGCATTTTCTTTCTTTCTTCGTAGTTGTTACTGTAAATGTCTATTTTTCTTATGTGTGAAAGATTTTTTTTATTGGTGGTACTGGGATTTGAACTTAGGGCTTTGCATTTGCTAGGTATAGACTATGCCACTGAGCCAAACATCCAGCCCTAACTGTCTGAAGGATTCTTATAGAATCAACATGTTTCTTTTCTGACTCCCCACAAAAGCTTACAGAGTTCTTAGAACACAGGAGGGACTTTATAAATCTGTGTAATTAATTACTGCAAGAATGACTCTAATATACCAACTGTCATGCAGGATAGCAGATGAGCCACAAGGATGTGATCCCCTGGGCTTTGGCCTCTTGCCTTCCAGACTCCACATCTCAACACAGGTCATTAGCACCAAAGCCAGTGTCTCTGAAGAACCCAGATGTTCTTGCTTCAACTGTTTCAGAGCAGAAGACAGCATCTGCTAGGTGTATCACACACTCTGTGATTCTTCCCTGGCAACAGTCCTGACACACCTATCTCCACAAAAGACTTTTTACAGCATTATGATAATCGCAACAAAAGAAGGAGGGAAACATCACACGTTCATCAATAATAGAATGAATCAACTATGGAATAGGCAGACAATGAAATATTTTGCAATATTTTACAATTGATATTTCACAATATTAGTTACAAGTAGTAGCACAGGTAAACCTCATAAGATATTGAACACAGGAAGCTGGACATAGAAGTATATACCATATAATTCCATTTGTTCCCAGACAAGACTAACCTGTGCTATAAAAGTCAAAAATCATGGTCATACCTAGAACAAATTATGTTAAGTGAGGTAAGCCAAGTTCAGAGAGACAAATGGCACATGTTTTCTCTCATATGCAGAAGCTAGGTCTAAAATACACCAGGACATAATAAATTATATAGGTCTAAAGATAGTGAGAGACCAAAGGAGAATACTCAGGAGAGGAACAAAAAGGCACAATGCCTATGCACATCTGATCATACAAAATAATATTTATCTAGATGAACCAGAAAATGTAAACAAAAAGGTCTGCCACTTCTGGCTTTTTTCTTTTTGCTTATGTGGTGCTGAGGAATCAAACCCAGGGCCTCAGGCATGCAAAGCAAGTGCTCTACCACTGAGCCACCTTCCCAGCCCCTTTCTTTTCTTTTTGTCTTGTTTGTTTGTATATATGCCTTTGGGAGACAAAGGGTAATGCAGCAGTGTGCTCACTGTTGAAAATGAGCTATACAACTTGTGGATGGGGATGGAGGGAAAAACTGAGCGAGAAGGAAGGGGTGACATTATCCAAAAAGAAATGTACTCTTTACCTGATTTATGTAACTGCTACCCCTCTGTATATTGTCTTTATAATAACAATTGAAAAATCTTTAAAAAATTGTGGTCATAGTTGTAAAGGAAGGAGAAGGTAAACCATGGAAGAGAATATGTAGTATTTCCAACAATTACTTACTCAGATGTGCATTTATAACTGTGCATGTTAGCAGAATGAGCTCCCTTCCCATAGCTTAGTCCACTCCTTCCCTTCTCCAAAGCTTAGCATGCTCCTTTTGTAGACAACACTAAGCCCATGTAGTAAAGGCAGTAAATAATCAGCCTCCAACCCTCTATACCTTGGGATGGCACTCCTGTGGGACAGCTACTACCATATAAGGCAACAAGAGCTCCTTCAGGTCTGGGCAGTTGCAGGACCCTTTATCTACCATTTGGACAGCAGCCATACATCCTAGTCCGCCATGATGAAGCCCCTGGCCCACTCGTCCACACCAAGGTCTCCGCCTCCTAGCCCCTTCTAGCCCATCCTAAACCACCTAGGTTATATAGGTCACTCAGACAATAGCTGGTGCTTCTTCTCAATTCTCCCTTGTGAGAAGGAGTCTTGCAGGCCCCCTTTTCCAGCAATAAACCTTTCTTTATTCTTTGTACCTGGATGTCTGTGTGGTTCTCTGGCAAAGTCTAATTAATCTTTTATTTAAGCTTTCAGTGCACTTTTCTGTTCCTATGTAGTAACATAGTGGCCTGGCCTACAAAGACAATGGTGTGGCCTGGCCTGGCCTTGTGTGGAGTGATTTCTACAGAGCTGGATTCCCATCAGGGTAGCACTGCAAGCAGGGTTCTCTGAATCCATACTCTCTCCCATGCCCAGCTTTAAGCCATTCATACTTTGAAAGGAAACCAATAAGGAAGAGATGGAAACAGATGACTTGAGCATTCTGGAGCCAACCTGGATCCAGCAGAGCAATTGCAATTAAAGATCATTCCTTTAGAGCTAATTGCTGACACACTGCCCCTTCCCCTGCCCCCATTGTTTTCCCTGCATATCTCACCCAGACCCCAAAGCACTTGTGATTCAAGACCTCCAGCCCACCTTTTGGAGTTTCTTCAGAATGGGCAGCCAAACCTAAACTGATGGATCAAACTGAACTTACAGCCCAGGCCTATTCCTATGGGCCACAATTTGAAAGTTCCTACACCAGTCTGTATATTTCCTCTAAAATTACCTCAGTCTGCCTCCATGATGCCTAAAAATAACTTACCTACTCACTCAATGAATATGTTTGAATGCATGTATTTGGTGTGATACTGTCAGCTCATCATGTCTGTGTGTTCATGTTCATTCTAGTGATAGTATAGACTTGACTGTGAAAGGGTCATTCACTTGTTCCCCATTGAACCCCACTTCCAAGCCCAGACCTTCTCACAACAGACTTAGGAAGGAAATAGAAATACAGCAGAGGTGTTACTGTGGTAATAAATATTTATTGAAGATCTATTTGTGCCAGATCCTGTTATGGATGCCAAGGGACCAGTGAACACGCAAAACAACAACAACAACAACAACACACACACACACACACACACACACACACACACACTTCTCAACAACAACAAAAAAGTTCCTAAAGAACTCAAATTCTAGTGGATTGAAGACTGAGAGATTAAAAAAAATAGCATAGCAGGTAAAATGGAGATGAGAATTACAGAGAAACATTAAGTGGAGCCAAAGATAAGGAGCTGCAAAACAGTGAGCTGACACTTTCTGTGTGGAAGGCATCATTGAGAAGGTACTATTTGAGCTAAACCATGGAAAAGTGAAGGAGAAAATCCATGGCCAGCCAGGAAGCAGCACCCCAGGGAGAAGAAACAGTGGATGCAAAGCCACAACACACAGCTCATGCCTCAGCTTTACAGAAGTCTTCCGATAGAATCACATTTCACTAAGAATAAAAGCCACACTTTAACAATGGTCTACAATGACCAGGGTGATCTCCCTGTCACCTCTCCTCTTATTCTCTAGGTGACCACGTAGATTGCATAGTAGAGGCTCTAAGTTTCCAGAAGACATCAACCCATGCGTGTCCATACCAGCCCCCACCTCACAGCAAACCAGAACCGCTTACCTTGGCCCTGCTGCCCCTTAAGGAGCAGGAGGAGTGTGAGGGTAACAACTTGCCCCAACATCCTCACGGGACTTGGGGTCAAATGCACTCCTCTTTGCCTTAGGTGCTCAGCTGTGCATGGACTCGGCAGCTACCCGTCAGCAGGAAGACGATGGGGGCAGAACTGCCTTGCTGCCTGTCCAGCCACAATTTCCTCAACTCAAGGCTGATCACTTCTGTTGTGAGCTGACAAGGGCACTGAGAAAGCCTTAGTCTCTAGACCTGGTTTCCAGTTCCCACAACTAAGCTAGTGAACTTGGCCTCAAGTAGGCAGGTGCTACAATGACTCACAAACCAGCCTGCTGCTTTACTCAAAAAAATAGCTGGCCAAGAAATATTGTAATGGCCTCCATCCTGCTGGTAATAATGAAGAGAGCCACATGAGAACTACACTATACTATCCCAGACTGTCCCAAACCAATGGTACATTGTAGAAGTGAAAGGGAAACAGTTTAGAGCGAGCTGAAAACAAAGTTCAGTTTGAGTGGGTGCTAAAGTTGACGGAGAGAAATGGGGGGATGACTTAGGAAGGACCTAAGGTGTGGCAGTAGTACAATAATCTTAACAAGCCTGGGGATTCTATGAAATTAATACCAAAAAAAATATTCAGGGGGGGAGACCTTGAACTCAGGACCTGAGCTTCTTTATGTTCAAGGCTCACTTGAGCCACAACTCCACTTATACCATTTTTGGTAGTTCAGTGGATATAAGAATCTCATAGAAGCTGGGCACCGGGGGCTCATGCCTGGCTTTCCATGAGACTCTCATCTCTAATAAACCACCAGAAAACCAGAAGTGGCACTGTGGCTCAAGAAGTAAAGCGCTTGCCTTGAGCTGAAGAGCCAAGGGACAAGAGCATTAAATATTAATTGCTTAATGCCAGAAGAAAATAATATGTCCCAGAAGGTGACATATACTATAAAATTTATACTTATGTATATATATGATCATATATATACATATATATATATGACCATATAACATATGACCATTTTCTGCTGGCCCTAGACATGTACTAATTATTGCAAATAAGGGAAACCATGGGACCTATGTTTCTTTGCATCTGGCTTACTTCACTTTAATACATTTTTCCAAGTCTTTTCATTTCCTAACAAATAGGGTGATGTCATTCTTTCTGATGGAGGCATAGAATGAATATATGTATATATATATATATATATGTGTGTGTGTGTATATATATATACACACATATATATATATATATATATCACATTTTCTTGTTCCATTCATATACTGACATCTGGGTTGGTTCCATATCTTAGCTATGGTAAATAATGCTGCGATAAACCATGTTTATCACTTTGGTATGACCTTGTTTGTGATTGTTTGGGTAAATACCCAAAAGTTGGATTTCTGGGTCATAGAGGAGCTCTATGTGGAGTCTTTTGAGGAACCTCCATACTGCTTTCCAAAGTGGTTGAACAAGTTTACACTCCCACCAACAATGCAGTAGGGTTCCCTTTTAGCCACATCCCCTCCAGCATCTGTTGTTGTTAGAGTTCTTGATTATAGCCATTCTAACTGGGGTGAGGTAGAATCTCAATGTTGTTTTGATTTGCATTTCTTTATGGCGAGGTTGAGCATTTCTTCATATGTCTATTGGCCATTCTTATTTCCTCTTCAGAGAAGTTTCTCTGTAAGTCTTTAGCCCACTTATTTCTCAGGCAGTTGTTTCTTTGAGATTTGTTGTTGGGGGATTTAAGTTTTTGGGTTTTAAGTGTATTTTAGATATGAGACCCTTGTCTGTTCTATGGCTAGTGAGATCTTCTCCCAATCCATGGGCTTTCTATTGATCTTTGCCATGCAGAAGTTCTGCAACTTCATGCAATCCCATTTGTCCAAACTTTCTTTGATTTGTTGTGTTTCTGGGTCTTTATTAAGAAAATTTTGGCCTGTGCTAAGGAGCCATAGAGCTTCTCCTATTTCGTCCTGTAATGTTTTCAAAGTGTCTGCTTTTATTTCGAGGTTCTTGATCCATTTGGAGTTGATTCTGGTACAGTGTGATACATAGGATCTAGCTTTAGTTTTCTACAGCACCATTTACTGAAGAAGCTGTCTTTCTTCCATTCTAATTTTTAGCTCCCTTGTCAAAGATTAGGCAGCTATAAATCTGTGGGTTCATTTCTGGGTCTTCAGTCGTATTCCATTGGTCCTCAGCTCTGTTTTTGTGCCAGACCAAGCTGTTTTGATTACTATGGCTTTGTTGTAGAGATTAAATTTGAAATTGATATTCCTCCAGCACTGTTCTTCCTGCTAAGGATTATTTTTGCTATTCGGGGTCTTTTATTGTTTCCTATAAATTTTTGAATTGCTTCTTCTATTTCCTTGAAGAATGAGGTTGGGATATTGATAAGTATCGCATTGAATTTGTAATAGCCTTTGGCAGTATTGCCATTTTCACAATGTTAATCCTCCCAGGAGCTCCTCCTCCAAGAACATGGGAGGTTTTTCCACTTCCTTAGTTCTGCTTTAATTTCCTTTTTCAGGTTTTTAAAGTTTTCATCATAGAGGTCCTCCACCTCTTTAGTTAACTCCTGGGTATTTTTTTTGTGTGTGGGGGGGGCTAATACAAAAGGGGTTGCTTTCCTAATTTCAGCCATGCTGTTCTTGTTATTGGCATACAGGGAAGCCATTGATTTCTGAGGGTTAATTTTATACCCTGCTACTTTGCCAAAGTAGCAGGGTGACAGGAGTAACTCAAGTAACTTGGGAGGTGAGTCCATGGGGTTCTTTAAATACAAGATCATGTCATCTGCAAAGGAGAGTTTTACTTCATCTTTCCCTATTTGGATCCCCTTTATGTCTGCATCTTGTCTTATTGCCCTAGCTAGGCATTCTAATACTAAATTGAAGAGGAGTGGAGAGAGTGGAAACCCTTGTCTTGTTCCTGAGTTTAGAGGAAACTGCTTTAGCTTTTCACCATTAAGTATAATGGTGGCTGTAGGTTTGTCATACACAGCCTTTATTGTATTGAGAAATGTTCCCTAGATTCCTAGCTTCTCCAGAGCTTTCACCATATGGCCTTATAAAGGTCATATATACATATGACCATATAAAATAATGTTGTGACATCAAAGTGATGTTAAGTGTTCCCAAGACAGGGACATAAGTGGTTTTTTTCTTTCTTGTTATTGTTTTAATGTACTTACAATATACTATGTGATTCTTTGGTTTCTTTTGTATGTTCTTCCCCCATGGTATAACCTCTGTTTTCACTGTATTTGATTCTGGTGTCCTGCATCTTGAATATACATTTTTATAACTTGGGGAGGGAAAGGGATATAACAAAATGCTGAAATAAGGATACAAGTTGACACATTGTAACAATGAGATGTACAAGACACTATGTTGAAAACAAACTTTACAATTTTGGGATGTGGGGAGGGAGGAATTGGGGAGGTGGGAGGGAAGGGATGGTAGGAGAAAAACAAAGGAGGAGGTAACAATGCTCTATAGGAAATGTACTCATTACCCTACTCATGTAACTGTAACCCCTCTGTATAGTAATTTTACAATAAAAATATATATGGAAAAAACATGTTGAATTTTTTTACTTATACTGCATCACTTCAATTTACTACATGATTATTCTCTTCTAGTTTGCAGTTGTTGGATTGTTTAAGCAGATTATGCTTATTCAATTTTTTATTCCTGAAAATAAAGCTACTTATTCATGATTTTTAAAAATTATATTTATATTTATATAAATTATATAAAATATTGTATTCATATATTTTATATTAATATATTGTAAATATAATGTTATAACTCATAAATAAACATAAATATATTATGTCTAATATAATTATATATTATATATCATATAATTGTATACATTATATAAATGTATATTGTTTATATTTACTATTTATTTTTATATTATAGAATTCAAAAACAAAGAAGTTAAAATTGTCATTTAGGCATGTATGGAGCATCTTGTATATGTATGTAATTGATTAAAGTGGGTTTGGGGTTTCTTTTGAGAGAGTGTAACTATAGATTTGATCTTCTGACCTCAGCCTCTTGAATGCTGAAACTAAGGTGTGAAACACAATGTCTGTCTAATGAAAGAATTTAAAAACTATACTAACAAGCAGAAACTGAGATCATAGCAACACCTAAAGGAGGAAGCAAAAGGTAAAGTGATTCAGAAGAACACTAGAGAACATGGAAGTAACTAATAACATTCCAGTTCTTAGGTTGTGTCATGAGTTCTAAGTGTCTCTTGCATTGTAAAAGAAAGAAGGAAGAAGGGCTGAGAGGAAAGTGGGGAGGGAGAGGCCGGCTAGCCTAGCTATTATGTATCTGGTTTTTTTCTAACCACAAAGAAATGATCACTAATACCACTTTATCATCAACCATATGGGTAATAATTAGTGCTGTTCACTCTCAAGTCACCTCTTCCTGGGGGCTCATGGAAGGCTGCATTTTTCCTCTGGAAGTTAAATAGAACTATACAACCTGTTTTATCCAAGAAATGCAAACAGGTTTCACTATGAGGCTACCTGTGCCTGGCCAGAAAAGTCTTAATTTTCTTTGCATCTTCCTTGTAGTATACAATGCATGTCATAGTAACTATTTAGCAAAAATTAAAAATTAAAAAATCCCAGATTTCTTTTTAATTAATGAGTAAAACTGAATTCAAATAGATTTTTTTTCATTTTTAATTTTTTTATTGTGAAAATACTGTACAGAGGGTTTACAATTACATGGGCATTTTTAATTTTTTTTAATTTTATTTTATTTGTGTCAAATAGATTTTTAAACCTTCAAAAACACCTTAGAAGGCTGGAGATGTGACTCAAGAGGAGCAGGCAAGCAGCAAGCTGAGCAAGTTCAATGCCCTGAGTTTAAATCCTAGTACCACCTAAAATAAATAAAACTAAAATTAAAAAAGTTATAATGCCGGCAAACATGTATTAAGTAAATTCTACAAGACAGATACTATTTTACAGAATGACATGTTAGTTCATTTTATTTTTACTAAAAGCACATATGAAACTTTACTTTTATTACCTGTATTTATAAATAAGATTCTGATATAGAAAAACTTCTCAAGGATCAGGTGAATTTAAGGACCAGGATTTGGATTAATGTTTTTCTAATCAAAGAGCTCAGACTTTTAACATTTGGCTCTACAGATGTGTGGCACAATATGGTCACTCCAGGGTAAAAGGAAGAAGAGTCAAGGCCATGTTGCCTTCTCAAAGAGGTTCTAGCATTCTTCCCTGCAGCCATGACTGTTCATGCTCCCAACTCTTCAGGATACTCTAATCTAGAACTGAACAATTAG